GCAGCCCGGCTGCCCTGGGAGGCCTGGAGAAGCTGCAGGATTTGGGTCCATCAGAGGAAAGATCTGGGGCCCAGCACGGCCCATGGCCCCCTCCTGGACAGAGGGACATCTCTAATGCTCCCTCCACTAAGACTGGACACATAGCCACTCTTGCTCCACACAGGGCTCCAGAGAGCCTCTGCTCATCTCATCCCCAGATCTGGTACCCAAGACAAACCCCACACACCACCCATCCAGATCTGCGGGATGCAGCTGGGTGACTGAGCCCAGGCAAGGCAGCCTATGGGTGTCAGAGAACTGAGCGCTGTCTTGTGCTAAGAGCCATCTGCCATGGACTCATGGCAGTTCACAATCTTCTGCGTGGCCCCCATCCTGGCTCCCCACTGCCAGGGACTACACGGCTTTGGAGCTGAGAGGCTCCCTTTGGCTCTCCCTCCCACTCATTCAATCGTGCCCTGCAGGTGTGGGTCTCCCGTCCCCCTTAGATGGCATTTTAAAGCAGCTGTGAACGTAGAACTCGAAGGCATACTTATGGTCACCGCCCATAATGCACTATAATATTGCTCAATTTCCAGTCTTACTGATTCAATTCAATCCAACAAAAATGCGTCAAAAGCTTTCTGCCTGAGCGGCAGCACCGCTCACTGATTAAGTGCTCTGGCCCTGGATCCAGACTGCCTGGCTCCCCTGCTTAGCTGCACCACCCTGGGTAAGTTAACCTTTCTGCGTTGCAGTTTCCCCTCCTGTAAATTCAGATAGTGATGGTACCCATCTCACAGGTTACAGGGGAGGATTCAACTGACTGACACATGAAGAGGTGCTGAGAACAGTGCCCGGCACCTAGTGCTATGATGTTGCTGGTCATGATGATCTTCTAACCCTGGGGACACAACTCCAAATCGGTTTTCCTGCCCTCAGGGAGCTTGCAGTCAAGCATGGCACACAGTGTAAACACACAACTGCAACTCTGAGTGACAAGTACCATGGCAGAGGGAGTGTGTACAACGCTGGGTGACTCAGTTTACCTCTCCAGGCTTTCACTGATTTACGTGTAAATGAGGGAGAAGAGTGAATATTTAATAGTATGAACATTGAGGATACAGAGATGAAAACTGGCTATGCATACATGCAGCTTCTGTACTTGAAGAGCTCACAGTCACGTGGGAAGGAGTGATGTTAAAAAATCAGGATGCAGCAACGCCAGGCAGCAAGCACACAGACAGCAGACACACATGAGACCTAAGCCATGATGATAATGACTGATGCTACTGACGTGCTGCTGGACAGGACGCTAGATGTGTGGCACACACAGTGTGACAGCAAGCCTCTGAGATGGGGGACAAATGTGTCCTCTTGAGCCCTTTTTTAACCTATGAGTGAGTAGAGGCTCAAAGAGGCACAGTGCCTCCCAAGGTCACACACCTAGGAAGTGACCAGTATCCTCACTGAGTTGCCTGACCCCAGGGCCAGAGCTCATAATCGTGGCCCGCTCCTGCCTCTCTTGAGAATACATTATGTCATGTCACTCAATCTTACGAACAACGCCGAGAAGAAGTCAGTAACCCAGCCGAGAAGACGGAGGCTTGGTGAGGAGAAGGACTTGGGTAAGGCTGGAACGTAGCAGAGAGGGCTTTGGAATCACCACCCAGACATCGTGCTGCCGTCACTAAGGGCAACTTGGGAGCCCAAGGTCCCAGGCCCGGGTGCAGAGCCCAATTTCCTGGGGAGAACTCCAGACGTCAGACGGAATGTCTATAAAAAGGCCCAGAGGGGCTGTATCCTAACCTGAACTCCCCTTGGCACAATCCCTTGGAATGCTGTTTAAGCAACCTTTACATATGCCTAATACATCGTTTCTTTTACAAGGAAAAAAAAACGAACTGATACCCTGACTGCAGCGCTTTTATGGTTTTTCCCCTCTTAAAATGTACATTTTGAAAACGGGAAACTCCCTCGTATTTTGAAATTAAGCTCAGCAGTTGAGCAACTGCGGCACTGACCTGTTAGCATTTTTCACAGTGACATCTTGTGGCCACTTTGGAAAACTGCAAGACCAAATCGGCAGGAGAGAAACCTGTCTCTTCGTTCTTTTTTAAAATTGAAATAAAGTCAACCTACAATATTATGTTAGGTTCAGGCGTACTGCATTGTGATTTGACATTTGTATACACTATGAAATTATCACCACAATAAGTCTAGTAACCATCTGTCCCCATACAAAGTTATTACAATATTACTGACCATTTTCCATGTACTGTGTATGTACTACGTCCCCGTGGCTTATTTATTTTATGACAAGAAGCTTGCACCTCTTAATCCCCTTCACCTGTTTAATCAACTACCCCATCCTCCTTCCCTCTGGCAAACACCCATTTGTCCTCTGTATCTCGTGGGTCTGTTTGTACTTTGCTTTGTTGGTTTTGGCTTTTAGATTCCACATGTAAGTGAGGTCACACATACGGCATTTGTCTTTCTCTGTCTGACTTGTTTCACTTAGCATGATACCTTCCAGATCCATCCAGGAGACTTCAACACTTGTATGAATCTTACCCCAGTTAGTTCTGCTCCCCGAGGGACTCGGCTGACTGTGAGGCTAATCAGCCCCGACCTCTCAATGGTCATTGTCATCGGAGGTGGGGCTCGGCTGCCCCTGCCCTGATCTGGCCGATTTCCACACCTGTAAAACGGCCAGGTGAGATCAATCTGCTTGGGTCCCCGTGGGCTCTGACACTGTTACTATCACTGCCTTCCTTCAGAGGAAGAAACAGTGGTATCCTATTATCTTCATTTGAATGTGCTTTGAAATGCTTATTGGATTCTTAAATTATTCCTCGGAATAATTTCCAGTTCACGACTTTCGTCTTATTTTTCTAATGGAATGTGTGTGGTTTTCTCTGGCACGTGTAGGAGTTCTTTATATATCAACCAGTTTCCTTCCTTATAACATGGTCTCCCTTTTGGAATCAAACCCAGTAACTTAACCAGCTTCTACTTATGCCAAATTTCCAAAATAATTGAATTAATATGAAATCATTATCAAATCTATAAATGGTTCTAAATAGTTATTCCTTAAACAAATAAATAAATGCAGCAGCTATTTCCCTTCTTAAAAGCTTCAGATGATTACAAGAGACATTGAGCTAATCTACTAACGGAAAAAACCAACATTTCTACTATTTTTACCTTTGGTGAAGGGATAGTAGAAAAAAAATTCATCTAGTGAGGAGAGGCCAGGGATATGTCAAACATTTTATAAGGCACAGGACAGCCCTCCCCACAATAAAGAATTATCTGGACCCAAAAAAACTGAGAGAGGGAGATTAGAAAATCTTGGTTTAGAAGAAGGTCTGGAAGATCTGACTTGGTCCTGCCCAGTTCCACTATTTAAGAGCTATGTAACTTTAAACAAATCACTTAACTTCTACAAGCTACTGCCACCTCTGTAAAGGGTACAGCTTCATTCATTTGTTCATTCATTCACTCATTCATTCACTCAACTGATATTTCTCGAGAAACAGGGATACAGCAATGAACAATATTCAATCTAAGCCCAGAAAAGAGTGAGAACTAAATCAGGAAATGAGGGTAAAAACCCCTTTATAATTTTATAATGTGCACAACAGACCCAAGGCAGAAGCTCTGATGTGACCACACAGGGTGACAGGGTGACAGTGTTCTCTCCATTCAGTAGCATTAACTTTCTAGTTATTGACTGTATTTCGCCTATTCTAAAATGCACAAGAAGTCCTTTTTCATATTTCAGCATCTTTGAATTAAAATGACTGTGCCCTACTGTTGCCATCAGCCAGGTGGCAGTCACACCATAGCTGTCACTAAGTACATGCTTGCAAACTTGGTCAGTATTCCTGAGGTGTTAAAACCCTTTGGTGATTCAGTCAAGGAACCACTGAAGGATGGCAAGGAAGAAATGTGAGCCCCACGCTGTCTGAAAGCTTTCATGGACACCTCATGGTAGGAGCAAGAATGCACCAGAATTGGTCTAGATGCTTACGAACAGTTCACACTGTTAAAGACCTTCTTTCTCCATATGGAGCCCAAATCTACCTACCTCCAAGTCTGGTTATGCCTTTTAGAGATACACAGGCAAACCTAATTCTACTCAGCTAAGCCAGCGGTTCTCAAGCCAGGCTGGACATTTAAATAAATTAGTGAGTTTTTAAATGCTGATACCTGAGCTCCACTCCTTATCAATTACATAAGAATCCCTAGCGGTCGGCTCGACATCTGTATTTTTAAAAGCCCTACCCCAGAATTTCTGATTTAATGGCCCACTGAGAAAAGCCTTTCCTTACCACCCCAAGGAACCATCGCTTCCTCCTTCATCTCCAAAAGCAGTGGGTCTCAACCCGGGCGGCACATTAGAGACATCTGAAGAACACTGAAAATGCCCGATGCCCTGGCTGTACCCCAAACCATTCATTCGGAATTTCTGGGCTGGGGTCCAGGCATCAGTAATTGCTAAAGTTCTCCAGGTGAACCCAGCGCACAGCCAAGCGAGAACCAGCTCCCTGACTCCTACAGCACTCGACAGCAAATGCCTGCCTCCAGGAAGAGGGTCAACCCACACTGGCTTGAAGCCGCATCTATTTAAAACGTATTTACATTACCTGTGACTTACTTTCTGCCTCTGGGTATACAGTCGTCCCTCAGTATCCGTGGGGGTTGGTTCCAGGACCCCCAAGGTTACCAAAATCCTGCGACGCTCAACCCCTTAATCCGGTGTCCAAATCTGCAGGTTCCGCATCTGCAGATTCCTCATCTGCAGATTCAACCAACCGTGGATCGTGGATCCTAAACACAGTCAGCGGTTGGTTGAATCCGCGGATGCGAAACCGCAGATACGAAGGGCTGACGATATTTATATGCAAAACCCTTAGCGCTTGCCTTTACCTCCTGGCTTGGGCATTTCTTCATCCCATTATAACACCTTACACATTATAGGTACTCGGTACTCGACAGAGAATGAGTAGATGGACAAACACATGGAAAGATAGGTATTTATTTTATCAGGAACTTTCTGATCATGCGAATGCTGCAACTAATGTGGTGGTTTCAAAGATAAGGTAGAAGTAAGAAGATTCTGCAATTTGAAAAGCATTACGAAATAATAGACTGGTCAAGTAGAGGTCTTGACTCCCGCCTTCCACCCCCCACCCCAAGCCAGAGGAAGAAACAAAAATACAAGAAGGAAAGAACTCGAAGGAAAGAACTCTAAGGTAAGGCCACAGGCCACAGGCCACAGCAACGCAGTTTATTTCCTGGTACATTGCGGGGGGGGGGGGACGCGGACAGAGGGTGGTGCCAAAAATTCAGTAAAGTTCCGATAGCTTTATTACATAGACACAGCTTTAAAAAGTAACACATAGCCCTTGTCGAAGCTGCTGCTACATAGGATCTAAATAAAGGAAGCTGAGTCTTCAGAATCTGGCCATTTACAAAGGAATATCATCTGTCACCGTCAAAATACCATTTCTGAGCTATTACCTGCGGAGAGGTTTGGGTTTTGTTTCTTTCCCTGCGTCCTAGGCTTCCACCATTAATTTAGTAATCTTAATATAGCCTTTGTTTTAAAATAATGTTCAGAGAGTTCCTGAAAAATAGCTTGAGGCACGACCACGACAGTCGAATTACTAATAAAGCTGCCTTGGATGAGAGCACGCATGCGCAACGGGTGTGTTACTGCGCCCCCGGGCCCGCCACCTGCTCCAGGGCCCGCGTGTCCTCTGCCGGCGGTTCGGGGAGGTCCAACATGGTGGAAGAGTCCTTCCTGGGATTCCCAGTTACCAACATCCAGTGGTTCTTCGGCTTTTCGACTCTGTGTGAATCCAGGTATGTGTGAGCGGCGACCTCTGCTTCCTTTCCAAAATAGGTTCTGGGGCAAGAAAGAATTAACACTGATTGGAAGTGGAATTACAACCCTCTGTAAACTGTTCCTTTCATCTCAAAAGCACCTAAATCAGCAGACTGCTGTGTAAAGCCCTTGGAGGGGTCTCTAAAACACAGTGTTTGCCGGCAAGTTTCACCCTATTTGGGCAAGAATCCCATTAGAGCTAAAATCCTCTGTGGGGAGGGACTCATAATACAAAGGGCTCTAATAGGCTTTTTCCCACCATCAGAGTTCTACATAGTGATATTTCGTCATCGAAGAACTTTTTGTGTGTGTAGTCAGCCAGCCCCTTTAAACTGAGCTTCTTTGCCTGTGTTCACAGCCCCCATGCCCAAGCATGGCGTTTTACTGTCGCCTGCAATACAGTACCTTAAGAAAAGATGCCGGTGGGCCACCAGCCCCCGATTCGTGTGGCAGTGATTGATGAGAATTTTTGCATTTGCCTTTGAAGATAAAGAAAGTATGTTATTTGCATTATGAATTAAGGCTTCCATTTTTCTAAAAGCAAAAATTTGGAAATATACTATATATTCATTTACATAGATACATGTGGAATAACCTAGAAGCCAAACCATAATGGATTAATTAAAAACATGATTGTAGATACACCTATGATGGAACACTATACAATCATTCAAAGTCATATTGGAGAAGATCTTGGACAACTTGAAATATGGTTCGTGATGTTTTTAAGTGGAAAAAATAAGGATATTCCTGATGTCCTGTTTTTTGTTTTTTTTTTTTTTTCGTGGGGGAGGTAATTCAGTTCACTTATTTATTTTTTCATAGAGAAAGTACTGGGGATTGAACCCAGGACCTCATACATGCTAAGCATGTACACTACCACTGAGCTATACCCTCCCCCACCATGTCCTATTTTTTAAATTAAATTTAAATTAAAAAAAATAAACATATGCATGGGAAAAGAAATAACAGTGGCTTTCTCTGGAAGGTGGGACTACTGGTAATCTTCATGTTATTTGTTTCTCTGACATTCCTTAGGCAAATATATATTATGTTTATAATCAGAAAGTAAAAGACATATTATTTCAAGATCCTGCCTCATGTAAGCTAAAAGCTGCGCAAAATGGGGAAAAGCAGCCTCTGACATCTGGGAGTTGGCCTGGCAGCCAAGGCTGCGCGTTAGTGGTCTCCAGTGAAACGTAATTTCACACCATGCCCACATCAGACAAGGCCACGCTGCAGCCACAGTGGGTCAAGACAAAAAGAAGACCACTTTGTGATCATGCCTGAACACAGCAAAAACATGAGCATTGTCCAAGCCACAAAATGTCAAATGTCCTCCCCTCCCTGTGAATAGGAGTGTCTGCTCCCTCCTTACTAATGACAGCTTGCGCTGTGCTCTGGCCTGCCCTCTATAGATAAGATGTAGTGAGGTACCCTGCTTCCTGACAGCATCCGATCCAGGGCAAAGCCCCACTTCCTGGGACCCTCCCTAAAATCTCCCAACCACAGCCCCAAATCTATAACATGTTCTTTCTGACAGCCTCTTACTTAAACGCCCCAATTTTCCATGGTGCACATTCTTCATCTCTGCAGCCAGTACTAAAGCCCACCCATTTGACCACAGATGCTCCTCATGGTCTTTGGTCGGTCCTCAAAACAGCTCAGTGCCCACCAGACCTGCCTTCCCATCGGGACACTGTCTCACCCGCCCCACAGGTTCCCGTCCCTCAGGGCCCAGGGTCCTGAGAAAATGTCCAGCAATGACAGTCTCTTTAGAAATGAGGACCTAACAGAGGCCTGGAAGAAAGCAGTGTCCTAATCCTTACAATTTCAGGGGACTGGTTCTCAGCCTGATCTCAGTTTTTATAAAGCTCTATAGGTGATTCTACGTGCAGTCAGAGGAGCGAAGCACCAAAGCAGGAGGCTGCCACCAGGCAAAACAGCGCTTTCCAAGCTTGAGTTACAAATGAAAAAGGGAGAGTGAAAGTACATAGAGCTCATAAGGCATTGGAGCCATGACAAGCCACTGTTTTACACACAGGAGCAAATCACATCCATTTCATAGCATGAGCGCACATGTATCTCTTCCCCAGGCCGTGCTCACCGGAATGGGGAAGCCCTCATATTCCAGGCGTAGCTGGGGGTCGGGGAAGGCAGCCTGCCAGCAGTTCAGGTAGGAGTCCTCATCTGTCAGGTACACTTCCTGAAGCCAAGACCTCTTCGATGACCTCATCAGGGTCCTGTGGTCACTTGATAAATATAACTGAAAACAACAACAGGCAGATGAACTACATCATAGCTACTCGAAAAGCTGGGGAAGTAGGAAGTAGTCCACTGGCGGGACCACAGCTGTGTTCAAAAGCAGTTTTCAAAAGGGAACCCTCCTACACAGCTGGTGGGAATGTAGTTTAGTTGCAGCCACTATGGAAAACAGCATGGAGATTCATTAAAAAACTAAAACTAGAGTTACCATGTGATTCAGGAATCCCACTCTTAGGCATATATCAGGAGAAAACTCTAATTCAACAAGACACATACACCCTGTTGTTCACAGCAGCACTATTTACAGTAGCCAAGACATGGAAGCAACCTCAATGTCCATCAACAGATGATTGGATAAAGAAGATGTGGTGTATATATAGTCAATGGAATACTACTCAGCCATAAAAAATGAAATAGTGTCATTTGCAGCAATGTGGATGGACATAGAGATTACCACAGTAAGTGAAGTAAGTCAGACAGACAAAGACAAATAACATATGATATCACTTATATGTGGAATCTAAAAAGTGACACAAATGAACTTATTTACAAAACAGAAACAGACTCATAGACATAGAAAATAAACTTATGGGGAGTGGAAAGGGATAAATTGGGAGTTCGAGATTCACAGATACTAATTAATACAGCTAAAATAGATAAACAAGTTCATACTATATAGTGAACTATATTCAATATCTTGTAGTAACTTATGGTGAAAAGAATATAAAAACAAATATTTGTATGTTCATGTATGACTGAAGCATTGTGCTATACACCAGAAGTTGACATAACATTGTAAACTGACCATACTTAAATAAATATACATATATACAAAACAAAACAAAAATAAAATAAAATAAAATAAACTTATGGTTACCATAGGGGAAAGGGAGAGGAGATAAATTAGGAGTTTGGGATTAACAGATATACATTACCATATAGAAAACAGACAAACAACAAGGACCTACTGTACAGCACAGGAAACTATACTCAATAGCTTGTAATAACCTATAATGGAAAAGAATCTGAAAAAGTATATATGTGTGTGTGTGTATAACTGAATCACCCTGCTGTACACCTGAAACTAACACAACATTGCAAATCAACTAGACTTCAATTTTTAAAAAGCAGTTTTCAAAACCCCTGTTCTTCACTGATTGTGTGAGAACACTCCATTTTCCTCTCCCTCAGAAATGCCATCTCAGAACGCTGAGACCACCCGCCCCACAGCACCTCAAGGTGCTCCTCCTTCCTTTGAATACCAAACTCGGCCCGCCTTTCCTTCTCGTGCATGACTCCTCTTTTTTCAGGGCATTGGGCCTGGATCAGTATTTTACTCATTATAAATAATGTTGCATGAAAATTATTGCATGAAGTGAAGTTCTCTTAAAGCCAACACTAGCACAGCTGATATGCATATGTGAGCCTCCGAGGGGGCCTCGGCCCCTCTGGAATTAATGTCCACACTTGGAATTTATGTCAGTGATCTGGCTGCCCGTAACTTTGCCAAGAACCACCCCATCCTGCTGAAAAGTCGGAAATGGTAATTTCTCGTTGGCTGTTTGCTGACTCACCTTCACCCTGAACTTGGTGGTGGTTTCTGCATATTTTGACAGGTTTTCATTAAACACCTTTTATACACAAAGCTGTGCCGTAAAGTGCTATGAGGGAGGCAGAAATGAGTTACTGCCCTCAAGAGGTTTTCCAACTAGCAGGAGAGATGACTGAGTATAGAAATGGGAAACACTTGTTGGTGTGGCCATCCAGCAGGCACGCAAAGAGCTGGAGGAGGGCAGCAGTGAGAACACATGCTCTCCCAGGGCTCAGGAAAGTCTCCGAGGAGGGGGTGATACGGTACCAGGGAGCCAGACAGGATGAACGTGGACAGGGAGGTGGGCACATATTACAGAGGGCTTGAATGCTACAGTAAACAGCAGCACTGAATTCAGAGGGCCATGGAGAGGTGCCACTGAATTCTCAATGAGATGAGAGCTGAGCAGAGCTGAGCTGTAAAGGATCAATCTAACAGCACCCTGCTAGCATGGGATGAAATCAGGATAGACTAAAGCAATCAACCCACAGGGTCATCCTGGACTGAGGTACTGGCGTTGGGAACAAAAAGACAGGCCTAGTCGCATTATGAAAGGAGAGCCATGGGACTTGACAATTAGCTGGACGTGAGGTGGAAAGAGATGGGTCCAGGATACACTATGGCTTTGGCCCTGGCTGATGCGGAGAATGACAATGCCAGTCAGAGCATCAAGAAAACCGGGACCTCAAATGGCAAGTAATATCTATCTCAAACCACAAACTTTGTTAATATAAAGAAAAATAATAATAAAATCAGGAACAAATCTAGAAGGCCTCTATCACCAGATTTTTTATAAATACCCCAGAGATGCCTGCTAATTCGAAGACAAGGAACAGAAATAAGAGATGTGAGAACTTCAGAGATAAAAGTGTCATCATTTCAAGATGAACTGACTGACTGCATACCTAGGAGTCATAAGAGAATCAACTAGAATTAATAAGAGTAAATGACTTCATCAAAGGTGAGTATAAAAATCAACGTCTTTCTTATATTTTTGCTGCAACTGTCAAAAGGGCTTCCCTTCAACAGCTTCCAAAATAGAAGATACCAAGGAATAACCTTGACCAGACCAGTGTCAGATCCGTGTGAAGAAAACCACAAAACTCTACCGAGAGATATAAAGGAATAATTGAATAAACGGAGAGACATCTTGGAAGAACAAATATTGTAAAGCTACCAAATATGTGAGTTTTCTTAATTGTACAAATGCCAATTAAAATGCCAAGTGATTTTCTTCCCCCAAGGGGGCAGAGGGACTTGAAAAAAGTTATTATTATGTTTAACTGAAAGATCAATTCCTGGCATAAATTCAGACAAAGAAGTGTAATGAGAAGGAACTCGTCTTACAAGTTGTTGAAGTGTATCGTAAAGCTATAGTCCTAGAATAAAAATAAACAACTCCAGTTCAATGGATCCAAATAAGAAGCTTAGAAACAACCATATATGCTAATTTAATGTATGCAGCGTGGTAGTGAAGAAAGGAATCACTATTCGAGAAATTACACAGATATGACTGACTAGTCACTTGGGGGAAATTTAGATGTTCACATAAACCCCTTATCAAGATAAACCCCAAGTGGATGAAAGAATAGATTTAAGCAATAGTTAAACTCCAGACATCTAAAAATTAACACAAGTTCTTTTTATCATATCTTTGGAGCAGACTTCAAAGGATCTGAGCGATGGAAGGAATGACGAAGAAAAGCACTGAAAGACTTTGCTCGAAAATTGATTAGAACAACTGCAACTTAAAAGCCAAGTAACAAATGGGAGGAAATACTGGCAACAAACACGGTGAGATTTTCCAGTCTGTGGAAGAGCAGATATGGAAACCCAAGTCAATGAGCAGGCAAAGAGCAGATGATTTATAGGCGAGAGGAGACAGGAGATGGGAGAGAGAGGTGGGAAAAGGAGGAAGAAAAAAGGCAGAGAGAGACCAAGGGAAAAAAATATCTAAATGTTGTAGTGCCTGTAATTTTCCCTATATTTTAAGACTTTTCTCTTTCCCTTTATAAAAGAAAACGAGCCAGAGGTTAGCAGTGCCAATCTCTGGATCAGACAGTGATGATTAACTCTCCTCTTTCAACAATTGGGCATTCCCTCTAATGGCCACATTTAAAATTAGGCTGTACATAAAATAGAACAAAATAATGCCATCTGCAGCAACGTGGATGGACCTGGAGATTGTCATTCTAAGTGAAGGAAGCCAGAAAGAGAAAGAAAAATACCATATGATATCACTTATATGTGGAATCTAAAAAAAAAAAAAAAAGACACACAAGAGCTTATTTACAAAACAGAAATGGACTCACAGACATAGAAAACACACTTATGGTTACCAGAGGGGAACAGGAGTGGGAAGGGATAAACTGGGAGTTCAAGATTTGCAGATACTAACTACTATATATAAAATAAACAACAAGATTCCTCTGTATGGCACAGGGAACTGTATTCAGTGTCTTGTAGTGACCTATAATGAAAAGGAAAATATGTATGTGTATGACTGAAACATTATGCTGTGCACCATTGTGCTGGACACAACATTGTAAACTGACTATACTTCAGTTTTAAAAAAAGACTAAAAAAATAAAATCAGGCTACAGCTTACCGTCTATGGTGTGTCGGAATTGAATTGCCAGCATTGGTTTTATTAGTGGTATAATAATAATAATAATAATAACAACAACAATAATAATGCCACATCATACAATAATGGAATCCCTGGTTCAGTTAAAAATGTTGTGTAATACCAGCTCTGACACTTAGTAGCCAAATGACTTGGAGCAAAATCACTTAACTTGTGCCTCTGTTTCCCCATCAGTAAAACAGGAGGACAATAGTCCCTACATCAAAGCCTTGTTGGGAGGAGTAAGTGAGTTAATGTATGTGAAGCACTTAAACATGTAGTAAGGCATAGTAATCTCCATTGTATACAAGAGAAAGACTCAAAAAGTTTAAATAACACCCAAAATCCCATCCCATAGGCATGCATCTCAGCTGGAATTCAAACCATGTTCATCCGGTTCTATTACACCACCTAATCCCCAAGGTAGAGGTAAACAGCAAAGACTTATGCACCCTGATTTATGCAAATTTGTTAGCATTGGTGACATTAAACAGCTGTCAGATTATTATTATAGGATTCAGTTATTTAACTTACAAGTGGAGGTGGTATACATTTTTGCTTTATATCAACTGCACTACAAAAAGGTGTTTTTTTTTATTCTTTAGCTTGCAAGGATGTATTTTTGTAATTTGTGACATTAGAAGGGAGGAATTGCCCCAAAAATGCCTTGGAGAAGCTGTAGGCTGAAACCATAATGAAGCCAGAGATGGAGCCCACATCTCTAGGGTTCTCCATCCACTTCAGTAAATAGCCATCAGCCCACGTGGAAACAAAAATGGCGGGTCCAAAGTAGACATGCAATTCGATGACTCACCATTCTGCCTTCAAATCCTCCTGCTATCCCGAGGCGAAAGTTCTGCCCGTATCTGAGGACTTGACCGATGACCTCTCCAGCTGCACTGTCATTGGAGGACGAGCATAATGTAAATTCTCTGTGTTGGGATCATTCTACAGCTCTATTTTTTGTGTATGCAGTTTTGTTCATAATTTTCTTAATAACGTCTATTCATGGACCATAACTGAAGTAAGTCACTAACCAAAAGGTGTTTTATTTGGGTCTTCAAATCTTGCTGGCACCTTAGTCTCTGCCTCCCAACATAGTCAGACACGGAACGTTCCCACTTGGTGAGCCTAGGGTGGACTGAGCACATCACACTGTCCTACACTAATGACCTGGGCTAAGTAGCTGACATCTGTTTTTGAATTGAAGTATAATTGATACATAATGTTGAGTTTAGTTTTAAGTGTATACATAGTGATTCGACACTTACAAAGGATTATGAGATGATCACAAGGGTAAATGTAGTTACCATCTGTCGCCATTTAAAATTATTATGGTATTATTGACTATATTCCTTTCTCTGTACATGATAGCCCCAATGCACTGACATCTTTAGAGAGAAACAAGGTAACACACTTGCAGGTTTATTTAGTACAGTCTTCCCTCTTAACCTTCCAGGAAACAGAAATTGTGATCAATTCTTAGTTGTTTTAACATAAATCATCTGTATTCAAAAGAAATCTAAATTAAAGACTTAAAGGACCAGTTACATCGCTGTAATATAAACTTGCTGTCACAGTTAGTAACACGCTGAAAGCAACTGATTTTTAGTAGTAATTATGTATCTATTCTCTAAGGATTTAAAAGCTCATTTTCAGAAATTCAAGTACATCTTTAGTGGACAATGAATTTTTAAGTAACAAATCCCCACGTACTGCCGCCTTGCATTAAGCTATATATTTCTGATGTAGAAATAACATAGCAACATTAAAAACAATGAAAGCATTCAAATAAGCTCAGAGCATTCTGAAATGTTGCTAGGAAAACCCACTTTGCTTCTAGACCGCATGTGAATTTAAATCGCTGCATCCAATACCTTTGAATTAAGCATTTTGATTTGAACTCAAATTACTCATTATCCTGATGTTTAAAGTAAAGGGACTGTAGAGGCCCCTTGACAATAGTTCTCAAGATAAGAAAGCAAGATGGGCATCACAGAGAGTGTTCATATAACCTTTGCTCTAATCCCGGGGCATCCTTAAGCTACAAGTGAAAACAGATATTTATGATGAAAATTAATGTATCTTTACCACAAAATGGTAAAAGTGTTTCTGCCAACCGGGATCTTGGTTTGAGATGCGCTCAGGCCGCAGGGCACCTCTAAGTCGTCACTCAGATGGGCTTGCATTTCATCTGGGGTCATACACAGGCTCAGGTCTCCGCCCAGTAACAGATGAGCTTCTGTCTCAGGATGGTCGGGATTCACAAGCATCACTTTGTCGCCATAGTGAACGTATCCATCTTCAGATACAGAAAGCTGCATCTACCATTTAAATAGGAGTTTTAGAGAATTTTAAACGTTGTGGGTTTGTTTCTAAAGAGAAAAATCGGTATTTTTCCAAATGATAACTCACTTATGGAATTTTTGCTAGCGTAACATAACTCACATGTAATTTCACAGACTTTTGAAAAACAACACAAATTTCAAATTACCTGTCTCAAAAGGTTCTCTTTTAGTCTTCTGTTTCTCTGTATGAGAAGTTGTCCCTTATCCCTCTTTGCTAAGAAGTCTTTCATGAGCTCCTGGTTAAAGAGAAAATGAATGAAACCCAAAGAGTTAACAGTCGTCCTGAATAATACAGATACTTAAGAGTTTTTAGATCAAAAGTACATCAAGTTGAAAAGCAAAATTTAAGAACAGAAAAAAGAAATGTGAGCATAGTGAGAAATGGTGGAAATTTTTTAGCATTACTTTAATATTTTCACTTCATTGTAGAATGTTTAGAAAAATGAGAAAGACACGAAAAAAGAACCATTACTTGTGATTACTCCAACAGGTGACAATCATGAGTAACCTTCGGAGGTCACGTGTGCCCCTCACTGAGGTCTCTGCTAGCTGTGTGACGATGGACACTGGAAGGGCCCACCCCCACTCACCCAACTAGTTCCTAAAGGATGGCCCAGAGTCTTGTTAAGACCACCATACGCGCGACGACAAGGGCAGTAAAAGGGGCACTCAGGAGAGCATGTGTGACAAGTGAGGGGCGGCAGGGTTTCTGCTTGGAGCCTCCCTCCTCACCTGGGCCGCAGCTTGTGGGACCGCAAGTCTTTAGGGAACGGGGGGGGGGGGGTAGTAGGGCGTGAGGCGACAGGCGGCGGGGGTACGGTAGGTTGGGGTGGGGCGGGGGAG